AAATATTGGATTGCTTATTTGGTGAGGGTACCCCAGTATATTCCAACAAGGGGTGGCCGTCCTTTCCCTTTGACCCAACCCCAAACGGTACCGAGCCCAAAATATGCATGAACACCATGGGGTGGCACAGTTAGAATATGTGTGTTTGGCAAAACTTCATCAGGTGATGAATCGTAGGCATAATGAAAGATATAGAGATAGTAAATATTGGATTGCTTATTTTGTGAGGGTACCCCAGTATATTCCAACAAGGGGTGGCCGTCCTTTCCCTTTGACCCAACCACAAACGGTACCGAGCCCAAAATATGCATGAACACCATGGGGTGGCACAGTTAGAATATGTGTGTTTGGCAAAACTTCATCAGGTGATGAATCGTAGGCATAATGAAAGATATAGAGATAGTAAATATTGGATTGCTTATTTTGTGAGGGTACCCCAGTATATTCCAACAAGGGGTGGCCTTCCTTTCCCTTTTACCCAACCCCAAACGGTACCGAGCCCAAAATATGCATGAACACCATGGGGTGGCACAGTTAGAATATGTGTGTTTGGCAAAACTTCATCAGGTGATGAATCGTAGGCATAATGAAAGATATAGAGGTAGTAAATATTGGATTGCTTATTTTGTGAGGGTACCCCAGTATATTCCAACAAGGGGGGTGGCCTTCTTTCCCTTTAACCCAACCCCAAACGGTACCGAGCCCAAAATATGCATGAACACCATGGGGTGGCACAGTTAGAATATGTGTGTTTGGCAAAACTTCATCAGGTGATGAATCGTAGGCATAATGAAAGATATAGAGATAGTAAATATTGGATTGCTTATTTTGTGAGGGTACCAGTATATTCCAACAAGGGGTTCCTTTCCCTTTGACCCCCAAACGGTACCGAGCCCAAAATATGCATGAACACCATGGGGTGGCACAGTTAGAATATGTGTGTTTGGCAAAACTTCATCAGGTGATGAATCGTAGGCATAATGAAAGATATAGAGATAGTAAATATTGGATTGCTTATTTGGTGAGGGTACCCCAGTATATTCCAACAAGGGGTGGCCTTCCTTTCCCTTTAACCCAACCCCAAACGATACCGAGCCGAAGCTATACATAAACACCATGGGGAGGCACAGATAGAATATGTGTTTTTGGGCCAGAAAACCTTCATCAGGCCACACTTTAATATATATATATAACAGAGAGAGATAGCAAGCATTGGATGGCTGATTTTTTAAGGGCACTTCAGTACACTCCAACAAGGGGTGGCCTTCCTTTCCCTTTGACCCAACCCCAAACGGTACCGAGCCCAAAATATGCATGAACACCATGGGGTGGCACAGTTAGAATATGTGTGTTTGGCAAAACTTCATCAGGTGATGAATCGTAGGCATAATGAAAGATATAGAGATAGTAAATATTGGATTGCTTATTTGGTGAGGGTACCCCAGTATATTCCAACAAGGGGTGGCCGTCCTTTCCCTTTGACCCAACCCCAAACGGTACCGAGCCCAAAATATGCATGAACACCATGGGGTGGCACAGTTAGAATATGTGTGTTTGGCAAAACTTCATCAGGTGATGAATCGTAGGCATAATGAAAGATATAGAGATAGTAAATATTGGATTGCTTATTTTGTGAGGGTACCCCAGTATATTCCAACAAGGGGTGGCCGTCCTTTCCCTTTGACCCAACCACAAACGGTACCGAGCCCAAAATATGCATGAACACCATGGGGTGGCACAGTTAGAATATGTGTGTTTGGCAAAACTTCATCAGGTGATGAATCGTAGGCATAATGAAAGATATAGAGATAGTAAATATTGGATTGCTTATTTTGTGAGGGTACCCCAGTATATTCCAACAAGGGGTGGCCTTCCTTTCCCTTTAACCCAACCCCAAACGGTACCGAGCCCAAAATATGCATGAACACCATGGGGTGGCACAGTTAGAATATGTGTGTTTGGCAAAACTTCATCAGGTGATGAATCGTAGGCATAATGAAAGATATAGAGTAGTAAATATTGGATTGCTTATTTTGTGAGGGTACCCCAGTATATTCCAACAAGGGGTGGCCTTCCTTTCCCTTTAACCCAACCCCAAACGGTACCGAGCCCAAAATATGCATGAACACCATGGGGTGGCACAGTTAGAATATGTGTGTTTGGCAAAACTTCATCAGGTGATGAATCGTAGGCATAATGAAAGATATAGAGATAGTAAATATTGGATTGCTTATTTTGTGAGGGTACCCCAGTATATTCCAACAAGGGGTGGCCTTCCTTTCCCTTTGACCCAACCCCAAACGGTACCGAGCCCAAAATATGCATGAACACCATGGGGTGGCACAGTTAGAATATGTGTGTTTGGCAAAACTTCATCAGGTGATGAATCGTAGGCATAATGAAAGATATAGAGATAGTAAATATTGGATTGCTTATTTGGTGAGGGTACCCCAGTATATTCCAACAAGGGGTGGCCTTCCTTTCCCTTTAACCCAACTCCAAACGGTACCGAGCCGAAGCTATACATTGTACACCATCGGGGGGCACAGTTAGAATAGTTGTTTTTGGGCCGGGAACCTGCATTAGGCAATTAATCGTACGCACATATAATATACATAGTAGATATGGATTTGCGTTTTTTGAGGGTACCCCACTATTCTCCAAAAAGGGGTGGCCTTCCTTTCCCTTTAACCCAACCCCAAACGGTACCGAGCCCAAAATACAAATGACCACCATGGGGTGGCACAGCTAGAATATGTGTGTTTGGGCCAGGAAACCTTCATCATGCATTCAATCGTATGCAAATATATAAACATATACATATTATATATAGAGAAAGTAAATATGTGTTTGCTTGGTTTTTGAGGGTACCCCACTATGTCCCAACACGGGGTGGCATTCCTTTCCTTTTAACCCAACCCCAAAGAGTACCGAGACCACATATGAATAAATGAGACAGTTCGAGTAATCCCAAATCTTGACATGCCTGTGCAAATCCTTGGAAGTGGAACAGACAAATAGAATAATCTGTGTCAGATACAAAGGCTGCGAGGTCTGGAAAATGACCTTTGAAAGGAGGTATTGGCAATACTAAGTTTAGTCCTGGCAGTCCAAAGCAAGTCGAGAAGTGTGTTATCAGAACAGGTTTATTTTGAAAATCTACGGCCATTGCCGAATTATTCTATCTGATAAAAATACTAAATTTACTATTGGCAATACTAAAGTTAGTACTGGCAATACTAAATTGACTATTGCGGCAAAGCTACCCCCTGTTCTCGTAGCCAAAAAACCTTCCAGGATACGTTTTTAAATAAAGAATTTTACAGTTCAAATCCTTGCTAAACTTTACTAGGCTTAGCATTGGCAATCCAAAGTCTATATTGGCAATGCTAAATTCAGTACCGGCAATAGCAAGAATGTCCTGCCAATACTAAATTTATTATTGGCAATGCTAAAATTAGTACTGACAATATACATGAGTACTATTCTCAAACTAGTACTGGCAATGCACAATTAAGTACCGGCAATGCTAAAATTAGTCCTGGCTCGGAGGACCTGATTTTACCGCCCGCGTGCAACTCCAAAGTTTCTACCTTTGAGCTTTTCGTGAAAGCGTTCGAGCTTCCCCCCCCTCTAAGCTCATTTCTCACTAGCAATGCTTCATGGACATCTGAGACATCACCATCTGCTTTTATTATTCACTTCTTCTTCCTTGACCCCATGCATCTGCGCGGCTCGATGCCATCAAACGTTTCGACGCCATCAATTGGTGTGTGAAATTGCCTTGTGACCCAGCTTGCTGAAATATTCTGTGAAATATTCTGTCTGTCAAAACATATTCTATCTGAATTATTCTAAGTGTATGCTATTTGAATGATTCTAAGTGTCACTTGTGAACCTAAATATTCTAACTGATGTTTTGGGATATTTTCGGAGTAAAATATATTCTAAGTGAGGATCGGACGGAGTAAAATATATTCTAAGTGCTAGCCCGATACTATAAGTAGAAACAATTCAATCAGATCTCTCAGATAATATAAGTTTCTCTCCAAATGGCGGAACCCCAAAAGTTAAGTACTAAGCACTGGTTTTGGTGTTCCTGTCAAGGAGCCCCGAGCTGGGCTGCTAAAAATGGTACGATGCCTGATTCCCATCCGTAATCTGTAGGGCGCCACTAGGGAAACCAGAAACGTCTGGCTTAAGGATTTTGCGGATTGACTTACCCAGAAGAAAGGGACACCCCAGTAAAGAGGGTGCCGCAAATATGACACACATGCCGCCATGGTGGTGGGAAATGACTGCCATTCTCGTGAGCTTTGCCTACAATTACATGCAAAATGGGTTTCAATGTAGAGAATGTGTGTTGATCTCTATATATATATATATATATTCCGACAACCGCGGAAGTGGGCGTCACGATTTCCCACAGCCATGCCCAGTGATTCCATTTGAGTCTAAAGGTAAACACAAAGATGCCATCGTGTAAAAAAAACACATGGAGGTAAACATATAGGTGATGAATAACTAATTCTCTGTATATACCTGGGTCTTCCAACATGTGCAAAACTATTGCTGTTTTGTCAAACACTATGTCTTTTGACCCAACGTCGATTATTTTCGCCTGCCGGCAGTTTTCAGTGTTTGCACACTCTAGCATCAATCAAAATTGCAAAACGGCGTAATTTGCCGTCAAAACGGCGTAATTTGCCGGCGAAACGGCGTTTTTTTTGCCTGGTTCCGGGCTGGACTCACGGCGAGCGCTTTTTCTCCGAAAGAGCGTTTTTTTCAGCAACCGGCGACAATTATTGCTGTTTTGGGAAACGGCGTTAATTTTACATGTCGGAAGGTCCAGGTATATATATATATATGATTACTTATTGTCGAAATATGTATACAATATCACATCATTAAACAATATATATATATATATATATTCCACACACTTCACCGTACTTGGAGATCACTGACTCCGGGATGGATCCATCTTTCGTCCGAGGGGCCGAGCAGATGCAGGTTCTGCGGTTTGGGCCCAAAGAACCACAGCCCACCAAGGGCCGCCTCGTCGAATCGATGGGGGACCACCTCCTCTCAGTGCATGGTGGACATGGTCATGCTCGAATTCTGATATCCAAGGGTGCCCTATTAAAATTCACCCCCCCGCCCCACTCTCATTGGAGGGGACTGGAAGGGGGGTCTGGTTCATTGTTGGGAAATTCAGCAGGGGTCATCTCGGGGTTTTGCTTAAACTTGGGACTGGATGAGTCCCAAATGTGCCAATTATTTCTGCAGGCTCATGCTATGTCATGTCTTAAACAAATTAGTTAGTGTGGCATTTCTGTAATGAATCGGCAACCATGGCAAGCGTTTTCACGGAAATTGCCCCGCAGTCATGAAAGCATGGTTGTGGAAGTCGATATCTTCAAACCAGTTGAAGCTAGTTCACCAGCTTCCCTGTCGCCAAACCCGCGCTCGTGGAATGGGAGGAGTCTTCCCCTTAGTTTGTGGTTCAAATAAGGTTAGAGGTGGTTTCCCAACCATTCTCTCCAAACCACCAGTCCGAACCACCGAGTAAACACCTCAGATGCCCAGTGGATTTCCATGGGAAGAAAAGGGGCATCCTTTTGGGTTGGTTGACTTTACAGGGGAACCCTTCCCGCAAAAAATGGGAAAAAAGGGCACCACTCGGCAACTGGGACACTGTAAGAACAACCGACAAGAAACCCCGGGTGCTCCGGCTGGTGGGGAGGGAGAATCCGGCGCCTTCCCGCCACTTTGTTCCTCACTTGGCGCAAGCAAAGTTGCAGCAATTCCATTGGCCCCAACAAAAACACAGCCTCAAACCAGCAAAGCAGGCCTCCGCACCGAAAACCATGAACCATCCACGGTTCACCCAAACCAAAACCTACCAAACCCGAAGCCTGAGCACATGCTGTTCTCAGCTCTGCCTCCAATAGTTGACCTTGGGGTTCAACCCCCATTAACAGAAATAGCCCAATCATGGTGATTATATGAACCCCCCATTGTTTGAATGGTGGTTTGAACCCCCGGATTGATATTGGGAACCCCCAAAAAGAGAAGGACACAAGGGCACAGGCCTGGATTGAGAGGCACATCCTCAAATTACCCTCACGCCCACTAACACGGAACCCACCAAAGGGTCCGTTTTTGAGGAAAATGGTCCAAACCAGGACCCTCCTGTCAGGTTCCATGTCGGCATGCGCCACAGTAGGCCCAAGAAAATGTTCCTTGTGGCTTCCTTTTTGGCTTGCCCTCTTCCTTTGGTAATGTTCGACCTCTTTTATTAATAGTCCCAGACCTGCAAGAATTCCACAAAAGAGGGTCCAGCTGACTGGTTCCACTGTTCAGGAAAAGGGGGCGTGTAAAGAAACTGACTCCACTGGCTCCACTGGTTCCACTGTCCAACATTACCCTCAAGACAAACCCATGGTGAATGCAACTGGCATGGACCGCGGGACTCGCAGCCCAGCCCAGCACCTGCGCCAGGATGGATGCCACGCCGTAGAGCGCGAACTCCCGAGCCCCTAAGCCGGGCCCACTTTTTGGTGATTCCGACCCGCAAAAGGTGACGCACTCCTGCAAATTCATCTCAACATGGAGGCCGGGTGCCTGCACCAGGGGGAATCTCCGAAGCTTCTGCTTGGATCGGGCTCGCGGACTTGCATCGCAAGTCTTGCAGCTTTGGGGGCTTGGAAGTTGCCATTTTGAGCGCGATGTTTGGGTCCGGGAAAGGGGGACCCCATGGTCTAAACACTGTTACTGTATATACTCTGCAGGCTCTTGGTTCCCCATCCAGAAGCAAGCTCAACAGGTACATGGATCCTCTCGAAATGGTGCAGCATTGTGACGCATGAAATCTAATCTTGCGACTGCTAGCGGATTGAAATTGAGTCCAGCACAAAACCAACACCCTTGATGGAAATTCCCTGAACAAACTTGTTGGCGCTCTTCGCTAGTCTTCCCATAGTTTCCTGAACAAGGTAGATGGGTTGGGCCTTGCTGCCCAGGTTTTGCTTCACCGAAACGACCTCACCGCAGCAAAAGATGGGACCAAAGTGAGTTGCCATTTGGGCAGAAACACGGGCTTGTCGATTCCGTGCCCGGATCGAAAGACCGCCAAAGACTCCCAGGGCGTGAAGGGCTTCATAAGCCTTGTAGCAAAGCCTGTGGGTGTGGCGCATGCGGCCCCAGGTTCTTTCGGGTCGGTTGGTCCGTAGGGTCCGCAAAAACGCATCGCTCACTGAGCCGAGGGGCCCATGAGGAGGCCCGTCAGCACCATGCTGCAGAACTGCAGTGGCCAGGACCAACCTCAACGGCTCACTGAGCCCTGCGGATCGAATCAAAGCTGTTCCGCGTGGATGCGGAAACCGGAACCACGCAAAACGGGGCTTTGAGGGTTGGCCCATAGCTCAAAGCGCCAAACATGTGCCTGCCCCGCACAAAACGGCACACGAAAGCCGTTGACAGGTTCTGATCCTGTTTCACGGAACTTTAAGTTAAAAAGAAGCATTGCGACCAACAGGCATCTTCCTCCCTTGCTCTCTCTCTCTCTCGCTCATCTGTCTATGTCTCTTTATTGTTCTCTTTCTCTCTTTCGCTTTTACGTCAAGTATCTTCTACTCACGCCCAAGGCGCCAATAATTCAAGCTGAACCTTTTCGGACGACTAAGAATGACGCAAGGGAGATCCAAAACTGAGATCAAAACTGAAGGAGCAGTTCCAACCCATTGTCCGACCCCAGCCAAGTTACTCTGTTGCTAGGAACATAGTCATCTGGGTGTGTCTTCAGGGAACCCCCAAAAATGAGCGGCTTCCTTTCGGTGTGTCTTTTTTGAGGGTACACCGTGTACACCGTTTTGGGCGGCTTTAAACGGAAACCAAATGCAACACCACCATTTTAGGAATTCCCTCAAACAACACACACACACATAAAACTGTTGTTTTCCCTTTGACGCAAACTCAATGGCAGCAACTCAAAACAGGCCCCACCATTGTTACAAAGAACAAAGGTGAAAAAAAAAAGAAAAACATATCCTAGCTCGCTCTGGCGAAACTCAGAAACTCCAGGTTCCCGGCTGGTCAGAAGCCAGAGGCCTGAGGCGCTTCCAGTGGTTTGTTTTTTCGTGCAATGCAGGGGTTGATCCAGATCTAGGCGTCGGATTTTCGGATTTTCAGCTGCCTTCGGGATTCGATGATCGATGCGTCCAAGCTGCCCTAGTAGCATTTTGGTGAGTGGCGGCAGCGCTTGCGAAATCGCACCAAATCGAAACACGAGCAACGCATGCAACGCATCCCTCAAGGGAAGCCCTGAAAAGCTTGTGGCCGGGCCAAAAACCATAACACCCCGAAGAAGAGGATCTCAAGTTGAGTGGTGCACAAGACCTCCTGACGCCTCAAAAATGGCCGCAACACACATCGTGCTTGACACGAAGACCTGGTAGACTTCCTGTTTGCAGGTAGCTTTGTGTCAGGGTTTGTCAGGGGCCCCCAAACCCCCAGGAAAGGTTCGGAACTTCTGAAAAGTGGCTCTGATGGAAGGCTTCTGAGAACCATTTTGCGGGGCTCCAAATGTCTCTCCTGAATCCATCGCCTTGAATTGCAATCGACAGCAAACAATGTAGCTCAGTTGGGCCATTTGTTAATCCTTGCTGGCCCATGTTTTCTGTCTGGAACCATACGGATTTGACTCCAAGGGTCGCTGATTTCCCCGCAACAGGCCCGAAACCATCTCCCGGCTTTTATCCTAGTTCGGGGGGGTTAAAACGAAGGAGCACGCACGCCAGGACACATGCCAAGGATGAGGGGATGATTACGCCGTGTTGCAGCAAACTAAGGCCACCTAAGACCACATACAGGCATTCTAATGGGTTTCGAGGTCTCTCGGGGGATGGTGAGACAGACTGACAGGCCACCCCTCCACCGCCAACCCCCCGGCCTCGAGCTGTGTCGACCACTTCCGTCGCACTGGGTAGCAATGCCTCAGTCGAGCGAGTCAATTCTAGGCAATGGACTTGACGAGTCAACGAAAAGGGGAGTCTACATGACGTGACATGGGTCAAAAATCCCAAATCACTTTGGGGTCATGCCCCCTCGTTGGGGCTTGGCCCATTTTCGAGACCAACCCACATGCAGGTGTTTCCTCAGGTCCGTACAGGAGGAAAGAGCCATAGACCGGTTCGGAAGGACCCTTCTGCGCTCTCCTTACTTGTAAACATTGCGTCAAGATAAGAAAAAGGCTGACAGACAGAACTTGGACCCAAAGTCCTACTATGCCGTGCTGCCCATGGAGAAGAATAAGCTCAGGTGATATCCCCAACAGCACGCGGTGCTCGCAGAACCTCGTGGAAGCATCGTGGAACCCTTGTGGAAACCTGGTGGAACCCTCGTGGAACCTTACCTCAGGGCCGCCCCGGACCACCCCGGAGCCTGGGCTGAAACCCCAAAGCTTTCAGCTGGGGAAAAACCAGTACATGATAAACACACACAAAGATAAACACCCGCTCCTGACCCCAAGACACCCGCGCCAGGCGGCGCTGCCTCTTTGCCAGGCGGCGCAGCCCGGGTTCTCCAGCTGCGCTTGAGCGCTGCCCGGCGCCAGAAGCACCTCGATGACCTGCGCAGCCCAAGGGAACGAGTTCCATGGGAACTCTTCCGATGCTGAACTTCCATTTGCGTAAGCCCCCCGGGAGAAGATAAACATATATCGCAGTAGTGATAGATCCCCTTTAAAACCAACAAGGGAAAATACACAATATTCTTAGGCAAATGGGAGTTAAGGGAACCCCCGTGTCTTTTTTTCCTAGGGAACTCTTTCAATAGTTAAAACGGGACACTGCACCGTGAAAGTAGGCATAAGTTATTTTGGGTGTCCTCTGGATGCAAAATCCAGCTCTGGATTGCCCAAGAGAAAGTGCTAAGCGACTGCTTGAAGAGTGCAAGAATATGCAAAATCCACAAACAGTTGGAGCATCCAACATGCTGCCTACAGTAGATGGCAAAATCCTTTCTCTGTTGGTATGTAAGGGCCTAGAAGCAACATGGCGGAAATTTCTTTGTTCTGTTGGTACGGGGGATGCCGACACCAACATGCGGAGACTTGCGCCATCTACTTCCACCCAACCCCGCCTCTAAACCCTGCAGCGCCGTCATCAGCAGCGCCCCAAGGATGCCGGCGCCCAGACCGCCCACCAGCCCCACCAGCACAATGTGCCTGGCGCCCGAGAACGCTAAAGCTTGAGGTCTTGGGGCCCCTCAAGTCTTCCTGACAAAGCATGGAAAGCGGCTTGGTGCCCAGGTTCTGCAACCGAAGCGGGGATGCGTCATAGGAAAACCGCCAAGAAAGCTGGCTATCCTGTGGGTTTCCCGTAAAAACCAAGGTGAAAAGAGTACCCGGTTTTGAAGGGAAACCGGGCTCCTGGAGACAAACCCAGTGGAGCATCTGAAGGACCTGGTTTGAGAGGGGAACCTACAGGAACTCAGGCAGTTGCACGAGAGTCTCTTTCCGTTGTCGGTGCAGCTGGCCCTGGGAATTTGAAGCGCGTGCCCCATGTCCCCATTTCAAAAGATGGGACACGACATCGCCCTTCTGACAAGCAACTCACCCAACAGAAATCCACCGAGATCTAGACACAGTCTCTTCTGGCATGGATTAAAGACCTCGCTTTGCTTTGGTAAGGTGGAGCCCACTGAACTCCAGCTAGTGACCTGCTCTTGCCTTTAGAACAGTTATAACACCCTAAGGCTGACCCATACTAGTCAACCCCAGCTTATTAACGGGGGCGGAGTGTTGCCATCCAGAAAAAATGAGATTCCCCCCACTAATCCCAGGCACACCCCCTATTCATAAACTGGGGTTGATGAATATGGGTCAACATTACTAGACTGTTTCCTTACTTTTGGGGTCAACACTTTTGGGGTGTCAACACTCAACCTCACTTAGATGGGGTGCTTAGTATGGGGTACACATTAAGCACATTCAAAGGGAACCCCAGGCGCCCGGGACCCTTCGAGTCCCCCTTCGCACCTCGCAAGCGAACCCGGAACGGCGTCGCCTGATGGAGGACAGGTCCCCCGCGCCCATTGCAAAGGTGATCTTCACCTGCCGACGGACCAAAAACGATGACCTGGTTTGCATTTGAATGTGGAAAGGTGGTTGGGTCTCTCGCTTTGTTTACCTCCTGTTGAATGTTCTTGCAGTTTGTTCTTTTTGGGAAACCCAAACCCATGGGTTTGGACCCATCGTCTTAAACAGTGGAGCCCCATGTTTAATCGACTTTCCTTGGGTGTTGATTCTACTGATTTGTGCATTTGTTTCTTTCCAATTTGTCTATCCCTGTTGGGCTTATATGGGGCGTGTGTCCATTTGTGCCTTTCCATGTTAACTTGTCTTTGCCTGTGTCCTCTTTATTGGGAGAAAAACGCCACCCTTTTGCATGGTCGAGTTTCAAGGAAGCCTAAGGCTTCAGTTTTGGCTGGTTCGCTTTCAATAAGACCTTGGCGGGGGAAGGGGACAGGGAAGGTCCAGGAAGCCTTGAAGCGAAGGGTATCCACCCCCCTCTAGCATGTGCTTCTCGGGTGTGTTGGGAAATCAAAGGGAGACCCGAGCCCATGGGGACCCATCTTCTTAAAATCGTAGAGTTTTATATGTTATCGACTTTGTTGGATGTTGATTCGTCCTTTTCGCTTCCCACAAACCAATAAGGACAACAAGAGAGGGTAAGTTCTAATCATTCTCCGGTTCATCTTGTTCGGGAGGAACGGCCAAGCGACGTTGGTGGCACAGGGAACCATCAACTCCCCAACCTGAAACGGATTAAAACCGCCTCCAAGAAAGGGCACCTTCATGGTCCAACTCAAATCGGTACCAACTCGAACCCCTTCACGAGGTCGTGATGGCTCAACTTGTATTCGAGACGAAATACAAGCAGGCCTGGAAAAATGGAAGTCGCAATTCCCTCAGGGTCCAAGTACCTCCTGAGAATATACTTTGGTGGGTGAGTCAAAGTACACCCTCAGAACGGACTCGTACCCAATTGGGCAGGGTTCACTTGACCTCGAATTGGCCATCCCATCAGCCTCGGCAACCAAACTTCAAAACACTGCTCAAAAGTCTGAGGCCGGGGCGGTGGTGGTATCTTCCAGAAACTGAAAGATGTCCTTGACCTCAATCTCGCAAAGATTTATATACTTCATGTAATAATGGATCTTGGTGGCGGGTCAGCTAAGATTTGTTCAGCTTCTTGACGAAACGTAGAAGGGGAGCAACCTTAGAGAGGATGTACCAAATTTAAGCCAGGCACCAACTGGTAGGTCGAAAATCAACCAGTTTTCACAGGGCTTCATGAATCAGTGATGCAAAGTAAATACAGTTCATCCACAGCAGCTTCCACGATACCCCAAACCAACCAAAACCACAGGGGAAATCATCTATCTGGCGTCACATCCTTCGGTACCCGATCGTTACATACTAAATTTGCCATGGAAGAAGCTCGGGGGTACTGAAAATCCTGGTAGATCGCCGCAACGTGGCAGAATTGTATATATATATATAATTATATATTTATATTTATATATATATATATGTGTGTATGAAGAAGCGTGCTAATTATCATCGGGGACCCTTTTGGTGTGCATCACTTACTTGGGGAATTATGTCCACCCATTGCCCATTGCTTTTCAGGTCCCCATCAAATTCCATGGGCAAATGAAAAACAGATACATACATACACATATATATATATATATATATACACATGCACGTACTTATGTCAGTATGTCTGTACGTATGGATGGATGGAGGGACGAAATAATGTATGGATGTATGTATGGATGGATGCATGTATGCAGGCAGGTGGGTGTGTATGCATGATTGTATTCATGCAAGCATGTCAGCAGGTAAGTATCTAAGAAGGAAGGAAGAAAGGAAGGAAGGAAGAAAGGAAGCAAGGAAGAAAGGAAGGAAGGAAGGCAGGAAGGAAGGAATGTGAGTATGTCAGTCTGTCTCTGTCTGTCTCTGTCAGTCTCTGTCTGTCTGTCTCTGTCTGTCTCTGTCTATCCCTGTCTGTCTCTGTCTGTCTGTCTGCCTGCCTTCCTGTCTCTCTGTCTTCTCTGTCTGTCGGTCTGTCGGTCTGTCGGTATGTTTGTCTGTCTCTGTCTCTGCCTGCCTGTCTCTGCCTGTCTCTGCCTGTCTCTGTCTGTGTCTGTCTGTGTCTGTCTGTCCCTGTCTGTCTCTGTCTGTCTCTGTCTGTCTCTGTCTGTCTCTGTCTGTCTCTGTCTGTCTGTCTGTCTCTGTCTGTCTCTGTCTGTCTGTCTCTATCTGTCTCTGTCTGTCTCTGTCTGTCTCTGTCTGTCTGTCTGCCTGCCTGCCTTCCTGTCTCTCTGTCTTCGCTGTCTGTCGGTCTGTTTGTCTGTTTGTCTGACTCTGCCTGTCTGTCACCCTCTGTCTGTCTGTCTGTCTGCCTGTCTGTCTGTTATGTACGTATGTATGTATGTACGTACGTACGTATGTATATTGGGAAATACCTGCCCAATTGAAATCCAGGAGGCAGGCGTCAGAAATGCCACCGCCGCCAGCATCGAGTTCCTGGCCCCAAGTAGGTTGAAGGGAAAGAAATACAATGACCCCTGCAAAAAGCCATTTAACATGGAGGAAGGCCGTAGAGTCGCCCAAGTCTGGTGAGAGAGTTCAAGCGCTTGAAATGGGAAGACCAACAAAATGGTGGTTCCCTCTCGTTGCTCTTGAAAAATGAAAAAAACAAAACAACTCCTGAAGAATCTGCTGAGAACGTGCCACGGGACCCTTGCGTGGTGGTCGCAATGGATCGATTTGAAGCGAAGTCTCGTACGCGGCCGTTTGAGCAAAGGGTAACCTCTGCGAATCCGAGGCATCGCTGTCCTTTTGGTAAAATCTATGGCCCTGCCAAATCGAATCAAACCAATCTGAACCAGTGGAACCCATCTATTTCCAACCAAACTAGCCGCAACGGACACCGATGATCCGTCGCATACACCAAGCCTGCGGGTTGAGATGAGATCTCCCTAGTGGTTTGGATTCATCTGCGAACATGGAAGCGCGGGGACCTTGTTGGGACGGACCTAGGATGGTTCTCATTTAGGTGTCCTGCATCATTGGATTGGTGGAATGAGCAAGGTTCCAGGCTCCAGATTAGCAGGCTCAATCCCGCAATTGCTTTTCAACCCAAGAGGCCAAAAGCCAACTTGGCCAATCTTGGGCCAAATGCGAGTTGCATGCACTTCCCATTCCATCACAACATGTCCAATCCCAAAACATACAAGAGCCTGTGAAGGTACCTTTCAGGAGTCGGCATGGGTCAAAGTACATCCATAGAAAGTACCTACCAAATTTGGGGCACGGCATCCGTAATTGCAAGTGAAGCAACCGCATGCCAAAACAAATTCTGGCGTGTTGCATCTACCTTCGTGCAGGGCACCAGCCGTTGCATCCGTACCAAAAGGCCACAACCTCATATGAATTGAAGAACAGAAGCAAACAGTCAACAAACAGCTCAAATGTATTGAGCCATCGAACACCAGAGTGGGTGGGGTAGAAAAACGCCGGTGGGTGCAATCAAGAAGCCACATGCTCATACGAATTTCCAGGCCACAGGTTTTGGCCCCAGGCCTCTGCGGGACTGGCAGTGAGAGCTGGGTGCTTTGGGCCATGGCAATGGACACAAAGACGGTGGCGACGACCTGAGGCGACCAACCGATAGTGAAAGGAAAAGAACAAGAAGAAGAAACAAAATCCAAAACAACCAGCACAATCAACTGCATCCACCAACCCAACCCAACCTAACCCAACCCGACCCAACCCAACCAGCCCAAACCCAAGCACACATCCAGTCAGCCAAGCAACCAACCCGAAACAAATCACACTCATTCAGCTCAGCAGCTCCACCATAGACTCCAAGCCTCAGAGGTTAGAGCCAATGCGCCCGCTGGCGCGAATCAACTTCGAAGGGTGGGATACTCTCCCAGGAATTAACATGGAACCTGACAGGGGGGGTCCTGGAAGACCAGATTCCTTTTAAAGGGGAAAAAAAACAGAAGGGTAAATCACGTCAAGTCTCCTTCAGCTAATGGACATGAACCTCCAAGATGAGCAGCATGAGAACCAAGCTGGGTTGAATTAAAAAATGCCACACTTTCACACTGCTCACTTTGGACCAAGCATCAGGCACCCGGTCGGTCAAATAACAAAACATGATTCGAAACGATGTCACACTTGGAGCCACGGACCCTACCCAAAAGGAACGGCCCTTTGATGATGCCAGTGTGCAACTAAGTCTTCACAAGAGTCCCTTCAACACAAACCAAAATGAATGATAATGAATGTCTTTCTTGGGGTTGGCTGTAAGAAAACCAAAGGAAACCGGACAATTTGAGGGATCCCCTATGGAAACAAACCCCAGTGACGGTTCCCACATCTGAAGTGGGAATGGACAATCCGAGGCAAGGTGCAAGCCCAAAACCTGGAGGGAAACCCATGAAGTGCCAACTTTGCAAAGGGATTCCCTTTACCCATACACATGATCGAAGGCTCTGGATTGTCCAATCAGATCCTCCGTTTCTTGGCCGCGCTCATGAAGCAGCCACCTTCGGAGGTCCAAACACAGTTCTGCTTTTTGTACACAACCTCAGCAGACCCAGAATCATTTGGCCTTCCGAGAAGCTTGGCAATTGAGTGCCTCCAAATTCCCCCCCGAGCGCAGGAAACTTGCCGCGGGGCAGGTTCACGGACTCTGGCATGCCGCTTGGAGGCCGCGAATCTGGCGTCCGATCCGGGAACCAGGTGGGCGGCTCGTTTTCGCCAGCAAGGTGCTGCAAAAGAACCTCTGGAGTTTGTTTTCAGGGTCTGGTACCTTTGTTGAGAGGGCGCTGGTGCTGCAAAATTTTGGATCTTGGCACCCTGTTTCAGGGCTTGGTACTGAACAAGAACAGCGCACCGCTCCATCTGAGCGTGCCCAAAACCCCGAGCTGAGCAGTGGTCTCAAAACATGCTCGCGATGGTTGTCTAGTGCCCTCGGAATGATCCACCTCAGCCCGGCAAGCACATCATTCCGCGCAGGGGACTGGCATGAATGAACAAGCTTCAGACGGGGGTGGTCTTTTAAAATGGACTGCACCACCCAATTCAACTTTCAGCCAGGGTTCCCACTCCTTTGGCCAAGAGAATCGGGGTGTCGCTTGCTGTTCGATCTCTTTTGTTTGTAGTCTACACCCAGCCAAAAAAGGGGGTTCATCGACCCATGCGTGATGGTCTACACTTCTTCCGTAATTGACCAGGAACAGGAAGAGTTTGGAGTCCGGAGGCCATAATCCCAACGAAATTGGTCTTTTGACTATGGCAAATGTGTGTACGTGTCCCTGTATGTGTCTGGGTGTCTCTCTCTCTCTCTCTGTCTGTATGTGCTCTGTCTCTGTATCTGTATCTGTGTCTGTGTTTTTTGTGGGTACCCGTTTCACTTGGGTTAGGGGAAACCAAGGCCCACCACATCTGGGGGTCCATATGCGCCTGCACCTTCACCGGTCGCTGAGTAGCGGCGGCTGATGGCAGCCATCCAGCGGTTCAGCCAGAGGGTGAAGAGAACGAAGGCCTATGGCTTTCTCTGGATTTCTAGGGCATAATTCCCCAATTCCCCCATGCTGTTCAACCATAACTATTCTTGAAGAAACCAGCATAAACCAGCCGTTTTCCCTTGGTTTCCGGAGGTTTTCTTGAATTAAAGGGTCCTGGAATGAATGGGGAAGGTACCCTTGGAGGATTGACCCCAAACTGAGCCATCTGGGGTACGTACTCCAAAGATGCTATTTGGCTTCCTATTCAGCCCCCAACAAATAGAACATAGTTTTGGAGGGGACTTTAGCAAAGAGCCTAGCATGAACAGGCAACCCTTTTCGAGCTGATTTATTGTGTAGGGAATCCAGGCTCACTGGATTGACCCACAAAAATGCAGAAATGGAGTGTCGCCTCCGATGCTTGAACAAACCAATCATCCATTTGGTTTGTCGAAACAACACCGGGTGGACCTACACACATGCGCACAATCTTCCCGGTGAACTTGTTGCGCGTTAGTAGCTTGCCAGCCAAGAACTGATGAACACGTGCCCTACCTTTGCGGTACCGCTTGAAATGTTCAAACACGAGTGAATTGGCCAACAAACGTCCAGACTTCTTGTTTACGCTTCAGATTATCTTACCACAAAAGTACAAAGACCGAGCGCTTGGGAAGTGAATGTTCTCAGGGTGCCAAGACGAGGTACCAGGGACCCCTGGGCGGTGAGAAAGGAAAACATTTCGGACCATGATTCCCTCCCTGCAAGCAAGATTCTATCAGCGAACCTGAGGCATCGCGGGCTCCAGCGCTTGTCTTTGCGGTGTTCCACGAAAGCCGTCAACCCTCAGGACATCGTATTTTGTGTGAACCGTCTTTTTGAGGGCCTTCTGGTGAAAAAAAGGAATTCACAGCGCAGGGGAAATCGGGCCGAACGACTGATGTTTTCCCTGAGGCAGCATACATAGGTGGCGCAATACGTGCGACGTTTGGTGCTCACACATGCTCCTGGAGTGCTTTGACTCGAGCTCAGGCAGCCTACTATCAACGAGAGCCTGAGAGTCCACCAGGAGATACTTTATCTCTGTTCGTTTCCAGTGGGAACACTCATTGCTGAGTAGAACCAAACATCCGCTAAGCACAGGAGAGGAAGCTGCAAGACAAGTCAGATGTTCGCGATTTGAAACGATGTGGGCAAATTAAAATCTCCAAAGCACAAAGCTTCCGGGCTGGACAATACCGGATGAGACATAGGAGAGCCACAAAGAAACTATGCCTTGACTGGACGCTTCTGCTTAGAGACACCCGCAGCTGAGAAACAAGAGATACTATAGGGCGAGACAGCGTTGAAAACGCATGAGGCCATGATGGCGATATGGAGACTCGCATAGACCGCAGAAGCGGGCGTCAATCGAGTTAGACTCACAAGGCCAAGCTGACGTTCGCCCAACTTAACAAACACTCACTTGCATGCCAGTTGAAGAGCTTAGTGCGTCCTTTCATGCCACCCATTTGCTGGCAGTCGCCAACAGAAAGACACTTGCAGGGCAGTAGGACGGCTGCAAGCCCAAACGGATCAACAAACTATTCTGTGTTGGGCTCTCCATATTCTAAAGCAAGCCCCACTTTGTTTTTTCTTGAACTGCCGCGTGTCACAGCGATACCACTTGGATGAGATCCATCCCTGATTTGTCCGGTGATTGGTTTCCAAACAATGGAAACAAAACGCTAAGGAATAGTAGCGCCCTCTCAAAGGAACGAGTAGAGTTTGGTCCCTCATCACACAAACCCCCAAAGGAACAACAACCCTAATGTTTGGACACACTGATGTTGAAAAACAAAAAACGCTGCAGGGTCCCAACAAAGGTCAAGGCCTTTGACTTTAAGGCGGTAGGGCCTTATTCGCATTTTGACGACTTCCGTCTCCGTGAAAGCAGTGATCAAGGCAAACCGCCAAGTCAGCCCAGTATAGATGTGAACTAGGGACCCTTGAGGGACCCTTTGGTGGACTTCAGAAATACTTGTCTTCTGCAAAGTTGTACTTCACCAACTGTTCTGTTTGTTGTTGTGGTTTGTTCGTGTGTGTGTGTGTGTGTGTGCTTGCATGTTTGCGTGTTTGCATGTTTGTGTTTCTGTGATTGTGTTTGTGTGGTGTTGTGTTGTGTTTGTTCTTGAGAGTGCGCTTTTTCACTTTGGTTTCCAGGCAAAGCAAAGCAACCCCGCCAGTTTACTGTGTGTGTGTGTTTGTAGGGGGAAGGGGCATATGCTCTGTTTGACGCACGCACACGCACACCCACAAACACAAGACCAAGGTTGGCATCTCTCCTCTCCCACCCCATGTTTGCAGTCGAACATCCAGCAATGTTGACCACTTCAATCGCTGGTCCGTGCTTGGGTGAACTTTGAGGCCCTCACGATCACTTGCCTGGAAAAGGAAAAAGGAGACAACTGTGCAAGGAACTCGTGCTCAAGATCACAAGAGTCACCAATACCAGTTGCTTCCACTGGAAATCTATCATAACGTCTGCATTAACCTGTCCTCTTGCACCGCGATACATTGTAATCGCTCAACAAAGCACTTTCAAGGCCAAACCAGACATGAGTGGAGCGCGACCCTGTAAAATATGAATTCGGCTGCGTGCGTCGCTTTTTGTGTCACTGAAGTAAAATGCCACATGAATCGCTCGGTAGAGCAAAGAAAGGGTCACCAAGGATTGTACCTGGGCAATCCCAGGGACCTTCATCACAGGGCCACAGCTCGTATGTGTGGATTGGCATGGTCAAGCTACTTTGAAAGGAACCCAAACACACTCTCAGCCTTCTGGCTGATCCCATCCCTTGCTTCCAAGAAGCCGTAGTTCGCGATGTTCGTGGACGTATCTGTGAGGCGCTGTGAAACATTGGGGGACCCTAGTTGTTGGATGATTTACAAGAAACCGGAAGGAGACCAATCATGTAGGGGTCCATGTCCCATCTGAGAAAGCAGCCACATTGCGGACAGGGTGAAAAAGATTTCATGATCAGTCAGTTAACCTGTTGTACCCCTGTGATTCCAGACTCCGCTATTAGAATTGGAGGTGCACCCCCAGAGATCATGACAGTGCTTGACAGATTGCGTCCTTGGAAACATGTTGTGCCACTCTGCAAACTCATGTATTCAAAACCTGGACAAACCACCTCTGTGTAAATGAGTGATAAATCTATCTCCGGACGTTCTCTCCAGCGCGTTGGAGGGAATTCAGCTCCTGCACGGGTTTGAAGAATGCGCAGCAAAACGGCTCCAGGTAGTCAAGAGATGGCCAAAGGGTCGGCGAGGCTTGGATATCACTATACAATTCAGAACATAATGCATTAGGCGCATGCATTGTTCCATGAGTACACTTCGTTCGCTAAGTGAAACAATGGAAGTTCGACCTTAACACCAAAACTGAGCTGCCTGCTTTAGGCTCCAAATGTGGCTCTTTGCCAGAGGCGTCTTGGAAGCCGCCAGGGAAACCTGTTGTCGCCTTCTAAACGGCATGCGGTCTGCCGGGCTGCGCCAAGCTCTTGAAACATGTTGAGCCAGCGACGGCGAAACACACGAAGCCTTTTCTTGGTGACCCTTATAAACCATCCCTTGTGATTTCCTTTAAGAGGACCCCTGGGTACATTCCCACATTCCCTGCTGAGCACCAGCAAGTTTTTTTTTGGGGGGGGGTGAACCTCTGCAAAGTGGAAACGGCTAAACAAAAAATCGGTAAGTCCCAGGAGTCCTAGGTCCGCTCTTTGCGCAACCTTGGATCCGGTCCAGCTAGATGGATGCCACGGAGACGCATTCACATGATCCTAGAACCCCCAAAGACCAAACGACTCCGAGGTGGACTCGCTTCTGGCCTTCCCAGAAACGGAAACATGGAATCATCATGTTGACCCGCGGGAAAAAAGAATAAACACTTGCGGACTAATGTTGTAGAATGGTCACCAAACATATTCTGGATTCCCTCGAACATGGAGCAGGCAACCCACGAACAACGTCAAACAGAGGTTCACGCAGCAACCGGGTTCGGTTCATTAGGCCGGGGAACTCGCTATAATTCAGAGACTGAAATCGGTTGACATACCCTCCTGTCCACAGATATGACGCTCACAAGAAGGTCCTGTTTAAAACAAATCTGTCTTCCAGAACCCTCAGTCAGGTTCCATGTTGGTGGACAGGAACAGGAAGGTACCCATTGCTTCCCAGTTGAACTTGGAAGGCTCAAATCCAGTTCCCGCGCCTTGTCCATGCGCGACCCAAGCCTCTGATATGCAGCAGGGCTCTGTGATACAGTTCACCTCCGGGTAGTAGCAAAGGCCAGACGCCTCAAGACGTATCATTTCTGGGGTGCGGTGCGTCCCGGGGGAAGAAAAAAAAAAAACGGGCCGCCAAGCCGAAAGCCGAGGCGCCGGATCCCGTGTGGGAGCCACAATCGGGTGAGAGCCGTTGGCCAAGTTCTGGTAGAAGACGTATAGCGGCGTCTGAGATGCAAACGGCTTTCGCACGACGGTCGGAAACTAAGAAGCCTTGGAACGTCGACGATCCTTAACTGGAAATCAAGAAGCCCTTCGATTATACCTTCACCGCCATAGGAAGGCATAGGAATTGTAGCCCCTTTAGTGGATTTGAACTCATGACGAATGTATTGCATGAGTTCGTACTCTGTCCCTTTCTCTCTGTCACTAGTACAAACAGGCTCTGGATGTGTTGTCCAAACCACGAGCCACTTTAGGGCCACTCTGGACCAAACGGTACTGCTTTTTCGATCGAGCATGGTGTACTATGGAGGGCTCCTAAAATTAGCCGCCCTCCCAAGGATGACTTTCCAGTGTCTCATATCAGCTTCACCTGTAACCCAAGAAGCTCCAAAACCCTCTTTTCGCCGCTGTATGGCAAAGCACATATGTTGTTTCCCTGAAGCTGGACAAATACGATTCAAGGCCACGCTTTTCTGTTCTTGGGTATTTCGACATGCATACATGTCCTTGTTTCTTTACATAGGATCACACACCCTTGGGGAAGACTCAAACGACACAAATCTGGGGTGCATTGGAAAGCAGTTTGGTTGGAGATGGTGGATAAGCAACCTTGGTCATATGGGAAGTTTCAAACCCCCTAGGTCACTGTAGTTTGCCCAGACTAGTTATTCATAGCCCTCGTCCTTCCAAATCAATGTTCAAACTGCAGGCCAAACAGTGCCAACATTTGCCAAGAGTATGTGGTGCAAAAAGTGCAAGTTGGAGGTAGCGCCCGCCGCTACCAAACAAGCTTGGGCTCTTCTGACTTCCCTTTCACAGAACTCAGAAAAGTCAAGAGAGAAAGGAGCACGCTCATTGGTTCCTCGAACAAGGGTAACCCGGAAGAGAAATTCATTCAAGGGGCCCTCTGCATGGTGCCATGTTCGCCATGTCTGCGGGTTGATCAATATTCCTGGTCCATTTTCCCAGTTAGTTGGACAGATCATCCTAGTGGTTGCCTTCAATGGTCATCCCATGCTTATCGGACCTTTCGATCAACCATGTAAGAAGGGAAGGTAGTGCGCTCACGCTTGCGCCTCATCTGGCTGACCGGCATAGGAGCGGCAGCCCGCCATGGCCCAAAATGCGGCGGTCCGTCGGTCCGTGGCCAGGCTCCGTGGCTTGGGAAATGACAACTGGACTCTTCGTTTGAGTCGTTCTATTGTTCCCCAAGTCTGAAAGCTTTGGAGTATTTGGAGTTGAAGCTTGAGCTTGGATGAACTTGGATGAATTTGGAAGAACTTGGAGTACTTGGAGTTCGGTCTTGCTATCCATCATCTATGCTGTATCGGCTGCAATGCTGTCCGCAGCGAGGGCAAAAAACAAAAACCGGCAGTCTCCCGCGAAAGCCAGTCAACCCCGCAGAACCTATTCACCCCCACAAAATGAGGAACCTCCAAGTACAGGATTTCGTCACAGGCACCTCCCAAAACCTGGTATTTTCATGCTCCACCTAATGACCCAATTGTGACCTTTGTGTCTTCACTTCCCCACCGGAGTTGTTGAAAAACATCTGTTCGAGAATAAAGCAGCATGGCTCGAAAACGAAATGAATCGGCTGAACTTTTCGGGCCCTTAAAAACTGATCAACCAGAAGGAGACATTTCAGCCTAGGTCCTCCAGTAGAGAGGTTCGAATAAGGGTACCCTTTTTCTGTAGTCTATTTTAGTAGGGGAACCCTCCCCCAAAAAAGAAACGGTAAAAGGGCACTACTGGGGGACCTAGCAGCTCAATGCCTTTAATCACCCCGCCATTGCCGACCAAATGAGTCAAACCTTGGGGCTGCGAATCTCAATGATACCAAGGCGTACAGGCCAAAGAAACACAACCCAAGCATGAATCAAAAAACACCTGCGAAGTAGAGATTCATTTGCAAGAGAATCGGGTCATCCGTTCCAGCTCCGGGGGGGGGGACGAGGGGGAGGTATCATGCCTGCAGGGTTTCGGGTTTCCTGGCCACCGCCCGGCCCCAACCCCCCCCCCCCCAAAAAAAAAAAACGGGCGCGGGTCTCAAAATGCAGACTGTAGTTTTTCCTTTGGCTTCCCTTGAAAGGAAACCTCAAACCAAAGACACACTGAAGTTTGGGTTCCGGAAAATTTGTTGCTCCAGACCTGCGGTGCCCCGGGGACCGGTGTTCGATGGAAAAAAAAAACAAAAAACACCACCCGGCGATGCGTAAACCGACCTGTACCTTCTGATGTAGTTCAAGTCGTCTTGAACCCCCCCCCCCAAAGCCATCCGGAACATTTGGACGTTTTGGGAGTGTGAATGTTGACATATATCCGGAGACCCGACAAAAGGGCTGGCAACTGACAGATGTGATGGCGAGCCTTGGTCCGCGTAACAACCACAGTGCTCACTCGCAACCTGTGACTGCGAATGAGTCTTGAGTCGACCGAATGAATGCTCAACCTCCAAAGACTTGCTGTGGCATCACCTTGCAACACGGTCACACTCAACAAATTCAAACGGCCATGTCACATGACATTGTCATGTTTCAAGCAGCTGCAAGACATGAGTAATTACGTGTTTCGTTCCCACCTTGGTCCATCTCGACCAGCGCGAATTCGGGTCTATGCGAAAAACTCGACTCCCAAATGGATCAACCCTCAACACCCATGTCCATGGGCCCATTTCCCTCCCCCCCCCCCCAATTGTCAACGCCTTCGCCCGGATTTTGTCAATGGAGCTTCCATAGTCGGGTGAGCCGCGTCCAACCGAACCAAAGCTCCCACCGGTTGAAAAGCACCCAAACAACTCCCCAGTTGAAAGTGGAGTCCGAACCTCCCAGAGGAATCTCGTTTTGTGAAACCACCCGTTTTGGAGTTGCCCTAGTTTGAGACAACCCCTTTTATCCCCTAAAAAAAACCTGGACATGGAGCCAACACGCGCCCTGCGGAAGCCACCGGACAATTTGGTCAACATCCCAAAGGCTCCCAAAGTTGGCATGGGACCCAAAGGCTTTGGGTCCCATCCCTTCAAACTTTAAGCCCGAGAATGGTACGCTTGAACTCGGGGTCTTCGACTCCGGCCTCGACCTGGCTGTAGACAAAGGTGTACAGGTTGAGCTGCGGAGGCGACACTTGGGACGTTTGGGTTCCCATAAAGAATCAGGGACCCTGGTTCGACCACCAACCCGTGTTGCGGCCCATAGAAAAAGGAAAAGTGGAGGTGAATCAACAGGTTTGGGGTCGGAAAAACTGAGTCGCCATAAAGAATCAAAGGGCGCCTAAAGCAAAATGGAGGGTCCTGAAAACGGGAAATGCTCCTTGATCAGTTGGGATTCAACCCTGTTTTTGTGAGAGCTTTCCCATGGTTTCCCCGGTCTCGAAATTGGATACCCCGCATGATGCAGTGGTTTCCCTTTCGCTCCTCCAAGTGCTTGCTGAGGATGTACTTTGACCCTTCCGCACCCGCTAAGTATGTCTTCTGTTGGTACTTGGACCCGGGTTCGGTTTCCCTGCCTGATCACAGGCCACGAAAATCGTGGAATCCGAGGAATCCCACAAGATTCGATCCGCGGTCACGGGGAAGTCTGCGATCTGGATGCAGTCGTCATTGACCGGGTTGTACCTGGCCACAGCTCCTGGGACTGAGCGGCAGTCTTAGGCTTCCCTCTGGGTCCTAACGGATCTGTGGCCCTTCAAATCGACTCTTTGAGACCGGAAGGTATCCAGAGTCCGCAATGGATTTGGGGAAGGCTGGGTCCGATATATCCAGACCGAGGACCTTTATGTTTGCTTGAAAGCACACCTAGAGTGATGTCGAAGCACACCTAGAGCGATATCGAGCCACTTGGATTCTTAAGCCATCCTAGCCTCACGCACAGTTAAGTGCACCCTTCGGTCTCCCCCAAGAGGAGAGTCCTCTATGCATGTGCAACACTCATTAGAATGGGGTGGGGCACACCGATTTGCCCCAAATCGGCAAATGCGTGTAATCGGTTTCTTTCGGCTCTCCGCGCCCCGGCCCTGAAGCCGGCCCCCCTGATCCCTGCGCACAGCCAGGCAGTGCCAGAGGTGTCGATCAAGGCCACCTAAGCCACGTTTGCGTTGCAAGAAAGTGGTTGAGTTTTAAATCAGCATTGCCTCAGATGCCCAGTGGATGTTCATGGGAACAAAGGGCATCCTGATTCTGGTTAAGCTTAAAGGGAACCCTTCCCAAAGAAAAAGAGAACAACAAAGGGGCGGAATCCAATGGGCACCTGGGTGGCCACCCGATGAAAATCCCAAGGCGAAAGGAAGGCTTTCGGTTTCTTTGAGTCCCAGGGTTGTCGAGTGCCAGGATTCAGGGTTGGCCCAGGGACGTACCCGGGTTCCAGCCTGCTGTCGTTTTCGGATTTGCGAAAAGCAACCCTGAAGACTATGAAGGGAATTAGAGCTGGTAGAAGTATTGGGGACAGCTTCTGTAATTTGCAAGATCTGTTTTTTGTTTCTGGGGGGTTAAGGGGACAGTGTTTATTGAGAGGGGCTTTGTCGGGGCCAAAAAATGACTGGGGAGGAGCGGGGGGAGTCCGCCAAAGCTTGTGGGCCCTTTTAAGTAGTTTTGGCTGGGGGGGGCTAGCCCTTATTCAGGGGGAGTATTATCAGAATGATCCAAAAAGTTCACATTGGGGTAGCAAGCCTTGAAACCGAGTTGGTGGGCTTGGTCGTTGTGTTGCATGACCTCAAGGGGTCGTCTTGCATCATGGCACAAGCCCAAGGCTGCGTGGGAGGTGAAGCCTGCTAGACC